TACGTTTGCTACCTTATGAGTAGGTGATCTTTATCATCGACATAAAAGTTTGTGCAACATTTATTTCTATGATGCGCGCACCGGATGCGCAATAAACAATCTACGGACACATCAAACGTGCCGACACGAAGTGAGACTACTGCTTTACTTTATACTGTGGTAAGGTGCTCTTCACTGATGAGTCCCGATTTTGTCCCCGGTCACCTGATAATCGAGAACGAGTGTGGAGACGTCGTAATGAAAGGTTTGCAACCTGCACAATTTCGGAAAGAGTACCTTTCCATGGAGGTTCGGTCATGGTATCGGCGGGTATTTCGACGGAAGCGTATACAGCGGTCATCTTTGTTGAAAATGGCACGCTAAATGCCCACCGTTATATCGAAGATATTCTGCANACCATACCTTCTACTGCTGCACTCCAACCAACAACGCAATGCATGTTGGAGAGCTAAGAGCCAGTCTTCTTCCTCTATGGTATCGTATTAATGTATTATTTTTTATTTGGTTGATATAGAGAAAAAGTAAATGTAAGTAAATATAGCTGTATAATTTAAAATTAGTTTAAGCTGTTATAATACACGAGTTTGATGGGTTTCTGAGTGCCCTTTTTAGGTAGACGCTTTTTAAAATAACATCGCAGCGTTAAAAATGTTCAACATCCCCAGTCGGATCCCTTTGTACCGCATTTCCTAAAAGAATATCACCGTCGCTAAGTACAACCTTAATACACGGCGTTTTTAATAATTTCGCCTCGGAGACGTCGCATACCCGAGATAATGTATTCACTTTCGCGGCGGTAATGAGTGGGGGGCGAAACGGCGACGACAAAGGACGCCGTTTTGACGTAATGCCCCGGTATTATTATGCAAATTGGATTTTTGTAAATAAAAGGGATGGGTTTTATGGTGTTCGCGCATCTGTTGTTCTACGGCTTTCGTAACGCCACTGAATCGGTCTCGTTCCTTCCGTTTCCGCGACCATGTCGGGCGTCGCGACGCCGCCAATTAGGGTCCCGGACGAAAACGCGCTGTTTTCGTCCCGCACGAAGAAACAACGAAATAATTAAAAACCGTCCGCGACAGCAACGCGGGTCCATTGTCCGAGTGGAAAAACCGAAAGCAACTCGGTGTGAAAATTCAACCGTCCACAACGACCGAGCACATATTCGTCCGGGGGAAAATTTAATTGTCTCGTATTCGATTCGATTTAATTGAAACGTGTTGAGCCGAATGCAAATGTTGTTCGTATAAACGATGAATACAATCTAATCTTGATAACCCCACTGCATATTTTTTTTATATTCCACTCCACTCACAAACGCAAAGATATTATGCACTACACATCCAATTCATCATCATATTCCTAACGTAATTGATACTAAACGTAGGTATTAGCTTTGTTCCGTGCATTTTATGACCCGGTACCAAATTACTACGTAGCTGGGAGGTGTGGCGGCGGTGTTAGGGGGCGTATGGACCAGATATACGACATATTTCGCCGGGAGATAATATTGCACATTACGAGCTTGCGGTGTGATGAAGTGCACAGCCATTAACCAAGGGCAGAAACTCACCCTTCCCGTGTCTCTGATGGATATTTCTAAAGGTCGCGGGTCACGACCGACCCTATTTTGCAATGTTAAGTCGAAACCCACGTACGAAACAAACGTCCAAATATGTTAACGTTTATCTCTTCTCTTCTAATCGTTTTACTTGGATATACTAAATTAAGATACTAGATTGTTGTATATTTTTAATAATGCCGTTTTAAAACTAGAACTAACACTATATCTAGTTTTACACCAGCACTATCACTAGAACTAACACAAGACCTAGAACTAGAATCATTCGGGTTTAGCCGTCTTAAGAGACATGCGGCTAAACCCGAATGTTTCTAGTTCTAGGTCTAATGTTAGTTCTAGTTTTAATTGTTATTAAGTGCTAGATTGTTGTATGTTTTTATTGAGCTAAAACTAGAACTAACACTAGATCTAGAACTAGAATCATTCAGGTTTAGCCGCACGTCTCAAAAGGCGGCTAAACCCGAATGCTTCTAGTTCTAGGTCAAGTGAATGACTCGGGTTTAATCGTCTTAAGAGATGTATGGCTAAACCTGAATGTTTTTAGTCTTGTTTCTACTTTCAACATAATCAAAATTTCAGATACGTAGGTACAATTGAACCAATAAAAATAATTTGTCGCTGACTTTTTGGTGGACACTGTATATACACACACTGTGTTAATTAATTATCGTAACCCACGTGACCTGTGTAATATTGGCTGCCTATCTCAATATGTTGGATATTTTAAATTAGTAATTAATAGTAAATATATCTAAATATATTTTAAACGGCTTTTAAATTTAATGAATTGTCGCCATCGTTTTCAGGAACTTTCGTCGCGTTGCAATATCAATCTGTGATATTGGTTGCATACTTTCGATGATGACGTCGGGTACGAAAATTAATTAACACACTATATATAATTTTTTATATACGAATTTTATTCAAATAAGTTTATATAACCATTTTTATTTTACAAATTTAAAATGACCATATTTTGTTGCAATTTATTATTAAAAATAATTGTTACCAACACAAACCTCTAAAATACATCCACCAACTCCTAGTTATTTTTTATTTAACCAACCCAACGTCATTTTAACATCTCGAGAGCTTTACGTACGAATTAATATTCAGTGTATGAACAGGAAATTAAATTACGCTTTGTTGGTGAGCCCAAGTTTATTAAATTTATCAATTCAATGCTTTACTGTTTGTTGAAATAAGTTGTAAATTCCTCTTAAATTAATTAAGTAAAGTGTTGAGTAAAAGAATCGTATCAGAAAGTACGAAATTGTTATTATTATTGAATTTGTGGTGAACACATCACCCCCGATATTAATGATTACATCCGGCTATTTACAAGTTTTAGTTCTTTCCCCACAGCTAAATTTTAATACAAAATTTTTTTGTTTATTTTAATTAAAACGAATGGATTTCGTGAAATCGCATTAAAATTAATTGAAAAACTAAAACTGCTTTGAACAAGGTTTTAATCATTGATTATCCTTTTAGCGTATAAACTGTTTGGTTTTAATTTAAATTAAAAACTCTACACTTTTAATATATAGTTGATTAAACAAATTGAGGTAATCACGAAAGTACAATTAGTCTTCAAGGGCCCGTGGAGAACTAAGATGTCATACCGTAACTTACAACTTGAACCACTTTCAAGAATAATGAGTTTACGTTCCAATTTCGACCCGTCAACCGAATTTACAAATGACAGGGCCGAACCGCTTCTACCACCGGCGTTAACCATTCAATTTGAACCGTCGGTTTAAACAACCGAATCCGTTTATTCAACGCAATTTCAATGGTAACCGAGCGGTTTAACTTTGAACCCGAACTTTCGTACACCGCCGGCGCACCAGAATTTTATTATTTAAACCGTTGATAAACGTGCGGGAGCGCGCGCCTCGAATAAGAGTGAGTTAATTACGTTTTTAACGTCGTTCAACAGAGGTGGATTCTCCAATTAGGACACATGCAAATTCCCGGTGCAGGATAACGAAAAAACGCCTTGTTTCCCGTGTGTGTGATCGCGGCGGACAAAGAAACGGGAATAATTAAAACCGCACTCGACGGTTCCATTGTGGTGCGCTACTGAAAAACTGTAATCCGGAACCCCCTCCCTCACCTTCGTTTCAGTTGGAAACTCCGGCGAATTTCGTCCGGTCAAATTGCCAAACAAGAAAATAATTTTAAAAAAGTTAAAATTTCGGCATCTGAGCCGAATTATATATATTTTTTTCCTATTTACGGGCGACTTGCAAGATCGAGGTTCGAATTTAAATCGACTTTTCTCCGTTTCCACCATTTCCTGAAAATACGACGAAAAACGCTTCGCTCGCTGACAGAGACAGATATGCTGAGTTCTTGACAGCTCCGACTGAAAAGTTAAATCATGCCCAAATCCGATACGTCCTTCTCTACAATACAACTTTTTCTTTATTTATTTTTCTAATACGCAATCATTCTTATCATCTTAGATTTTAACTTCAATACACGCGTTTAATTTCAAATATGTGCTGATTTACTACTCTTATTATTATTATTAATGTATTATATTTAATACCTAGTAAGAGGAAGGTTATGTCCAATTCGACTGGTGTATGTTCTAGACTAGAGGTCGCGCCTTTATTTTATCTACATAAAGAAATAATGGATTGGACCGAAGTATTTTGAAAAACTGATAACCCGAAAATTTCTAGTTCTAAGTTTAGGGTTAGTTCTAGTGATAGTACTAGTTCTAGTTTGAGTTATTATTCCGGGCTAGATTGTTGTTAATTTTTAATAATGTTATTTTAAAACAAGAACTAGCACTATCACTAGAACTAACACTAGACCTAGAACTAGAATCATTCGGGTTTTAGCCGTCTTTTGAGACGTGCGGCTAAACCCAAATGATTCTAGTTCTAGGTCTTGTGTCAGTTCTAGTGATAGTCCTAGTGTAAAACTAGACTAATTGTCATTCAGAGCTAGATTGTTGATTCGCTGACAGAGACAGATATGCTGAGATCCCGACAGCTCCGACTGAAAAGTTAAATCATGCCCAAATCCGATACATCCTTCTCTACAACACAACTTTTCCTTTATATATTTTTCTAATATAATACACAGTCATTTTTATCATCTTAGATTGTACCTTCAATACACTCGTTTAAGTACAAATATGTGCTGATTTACTACTCTTATTATTATTAATGTATTATATTTAATACATAGTAAGAGAAGGGGAGAGGGGTTATGTCCAATCCGGTTGGTGTGTTCTAGACTGGACGTCGCGCCTTTATTTTATCTACATAAAGAAACGGGATCCGACAAACGATTTTGTTTAATACATTTTGGTTAAAACCGCCCCTCATTAAGAAGAAATGAAGTTCGCAAAGTATAATAACGTCGATATCAATAAATAGAAACAAAAAATAGTACTTACCCAATTTGGAGATTCTGGTACACAAAGTCTACAACAAAAAAAAATCAATTAATAATGATAAACCTGCAAATCCGAAACAACAAAAAAAAAGTAGCACTTTTAACAGCACTTTTACGGATACAAATTTAATCTTATTGCCGATATCGTCAATCATTCATCGGGGTTCAGTGCGCGCCGATTTCATTCATCAACATTTCGGCGTACACCGAAATTGAACGAATTTCGCGCGGAGCAATGTGGTACGGCCCTGGAAAATGTAAATATTAACAGGGCCGCGGGCGGCGAGCGCGCGAGTTTTGGCCGCCATAAATTTTCAAAATTCTATTTCGCGAGCCGTTAGTTCGACCGCTACTGTCAAAATCCGAAACGAACTTTACGCGAATACCTCCATTTCGCATTTCGCGGTCGCGGTCGTTCATTTAACCGACACACCGCGTAATTAAGATAGGCGTGGTTTCGGTTACCCTAATTCGGTTCGTCATTGAACCACGTCAATCCTCCGCTAATCACTCACAATTAAAAAGTTACGGAAGAAATGATTAAATTGTACAGATGGAACAATGCTTTCATAAAGAAAAACGATTACAAGAACGTTTTACACATCTTTTCGCCGCTGTAAAGAACCGGGCAATTCAACCGACCGCCAAATGATTTAAAAGGGCTATAAAAATACTTTATGAGCCATTCGGAACCAGTATAAAAAATGCTTTACGTCCGGGTTACGAAAATATGCGCCTATATGAGCCTACGTGAGAATTGGGACCGAGAAATATGAACTTCCTTTAAATTTACTGGCTGATATACACAAAATGTTCCAGTAAATTCCACTTGGTCGAATACCCATAAATTGTTTTCCTTCTTTTTTTTACAAGCTGGGGATAAAACAGCTGTTTAAATTTAAGGTCCAAATCTTTAAAAAAAATTTATTTATTGGGGTAAACAAATCATAACTTTTAGTTCAATAAAAATATGCAATAATTTAACAACTAAAATTAGAGCTAACACTTGAACTAACACTAAACCTAGAGCTAAACCCAGCTAAACCCAAATGTTTATAGTTCTACTTTTAGTATAATAAAAAATGCGACAATCTAGCGCTGAATAACAATTAGTCTGAAGATGCACGGCTAAACCCGAAACTTTCTAGTTCTAGGTCTAGTGTTAGTTCTAGTTTTTGCTTCTAGAATATGTAAAATATCCTTTGTAACACGACTAATACACACATTTCAATTGTGGAAATCACGAAAACACTTGATCCCTTCCCTTCCAAATACGCAATTTTTATTTATTTATTTTTTTTTGTTCCTAATATGTTCCTAATGACCTAAGGAACACGATAAGCACATACAATTCAAATTTGGCAGTATCAAAAAAAATTACGCTATTTCAAAAGTCATTTCGTTACCTCTAAATTTGCTATTTTCATTTTTTGAAATTTTTTTGTTTCTAGAATATGTAAATTATCCTTTGTAACACGACTAATACACTGAATGTTTCTAGTTCTAGGTCTAGTGTTAGTTCTAGTTTTACACTAGTATAGTGTTAGTTCTAGTGATAGTGCTAGTCTAAAACTAGACCTAGCGTCTGAAAACGCACGACTACACCCGAAACTTTTAATTCTAGGTCTAGTGTTAGCTCTAGTTTTAGTTCGATATAAATATACAACCGAAATTGATGTTTAAAATGTAAAAGAAGAAATTTTTGATTGAATATTTCACAATTTTTTTAATTTGAGGTTATAATTTTGAATTAAATGTGTTTGTTTGTAATTAAGCTAAAAAAATGATTACAAATTCTTAATCTACACGAAAAATCCTTTAAAATGACTCCAAACTCGGTGGGGTTGTTTCAAAAATTAACCAAGATACCCAAAAAAAAAACAATCGACGATCGCGATTTTTAAAACTACCATATTTTACTCATTTTTAAAGATAACCCTATGGTGTTTGAGCTCATTTTAAAGGATTTTTCGCGTAGATTATGAATTCGATTCGAATTAATTTGAATTTCAAAATTTATCATTTACAATATGATGACCAGCTTTAGGTTGATATAATATTAATACAACTGTTCATTCTCTATGCTTAAACATTCTCTATTCTAAGCCAGTATACCATATCGATAAGATAGCGGAAGCAAGTAACATTGACAGTTGACACTGTTTAGCAGCATTCCCACCATTTTATGAACCATGAGTGAAACTGAAAGTTGAAAACTTAATTTTTTAGATTTACAATTGATAACAAACAAAGCAAATTCATGTTTGATTAAACAAGATCCCATAATAATAAAATTCCTAGTATAATAAAGTAACTCAAATAAATTATGTGCTAAGGGTGTCGTATCTCCCCTTAATTCCTTGTAGAACATTCTTATCCCCGTACAATAAGCACTTTACCGCGGCGGAACATTGATAGAGCCGATAGCTTTTCCTTTTACAGGGCAATTACAGAAACCCGGGGTTAATTAAGGAAAAATAAAGCAGTGTAACACGCGAATCGCAAAAAACACGGGGCGAAAAGGAGGAAGAAGGGATTGGTTTGGAAGTTGTGTGGCGTGACCAGAGGGCGTTAGCACCCCCCAGGTGAATATTTCAGCAAATAACTGGAAGTCCGGTTGATGCGAAATTAAAAATTGCCGAGAAGCCCTTCTGCAGAAAACAGCCGGTTTTATAGCGCCAAGTTTCGTCGCGAATTCTAAAGGGATTTTTACACTTAAAACTTCCGCACTAGAAAGCGGTCGACCGGAATTTCCGGACTTCAGAAAATCCTGAGGGTTTACGATTTAAAATCTCGACGTTTTCTTTTTTTGCAAAAAATATTTTAACTGATACATATACAAAAAAAATCGTTTGAATTCAAAAGTCCTTAATGACAAATTCATGAGGCTCATTTCAATTTCCAAAGTCGCTTCCGAATTCCTCTTACATCAAACTTCCTCCCTTATGAATATCTCGCGCTTTGAAGCCGTCAGGTCTTTTGTTAACTTTGTGCAAGAGAAGGAGAACACTTTTTAATTGCACGCACCCTTTTTTAAGTACTACACTTAAAGGAAGAAATTTTTGCGACGTTGATAATTTATTTAGATAGTAAAAACGTTATCTCGTGAATAACAAATTAATGAAATTCAAAGCTTGAAAGGTTAAAGTTCTTTCTTTACCTTAACGGGGGTCGTAATCGTTGAGGGTGTGTTCTGTTGACTTGGTGTTTTTAACTTCTTGTAATCAGCGAAGGCAAGTACCCAGTAAATTACGATCTTAAACTGCTTCAAGCAACGCTCAGACTTGCCGGAGTCATTAATAACGTTCAGATATCCTGACAACCTTACAGAATTGTCGGAAACTTAAACCCCGAGCAATAAACTGTTTCTGATAGCGACGTTCGTAATTTATGGTTTAACGTAATGACGTATTCACCGAGAATATCTTCACGTCCTTATCGAAAATATATTAATTTAGTTCAACTTAAATTTTAATATCAAACTTTACTTTTAAGTTAAACGAGGAATTTCAACGTTAAGAATTTCAAGTCTATAATAAAGTTCTTTTAATATATCTTTTAATAACTTCGGAATTTTATATATTGTTTTCTTGAGAAATAATAAAGTAGCATTTAATAGGTTTATAACATGCAATGTTAAGCTTAATAATAATTTATAATGACAACATATAACTTTATTACCCCTTTTAAGGGCTTAATTAACAAGTCTTATCACTTAATCTTATTTTTTATAACGTAATAATAAAGTTCTAAGTTTTACCCCTTTAATATAATATTGTGTTTTCGCTCCCAAAGCTATCTTCCCATTTTTAATCTAAATACATTTGTTACCATCTTGAGTAACACGTATTGCAGCTCTTAGATTTGAATTTATGACGTCTATTTCAGCCGAGGTCGCTTGCGGCCGAGGCAGAATTGCTATCACATCGATGCAACATTAAATATATATTGTATTGGCTACATTGCGGCGCCTCGATCGCAAGCGATGGCTTATTTTAAGACGGAAATATATGAAGTTGTGTAATTAAGGTCGCTAGCGGCCGAGGCAAAATTTCTACCACACGAGGCGCTATAATATAATATGTTATACAATATTGTATCGGCATGGTTACTTAATGATGTATCGCGTGGTAGAAATTCTGCCTCGGCCGCAAGCTACCTCGGCTTAAGTAGACCATGTCATATATTTATGCCATAATTTAAGCCGAGGTCGCTTGCGGCCGATGCGCTACAATATGTTTTATACAAAATATATGGACATGGTTACTTAATGATGTATCGATGTGATAGATATTCTGCCTCGGCCGCAAGCGACCTCGGTTTAAGTAAACAACGTTATATATTTATGCCATAATTTAAGCCGAGGTCGCTTGCGGCCGATGCGCTACAATATGTTTTATACAAAATATATCGGCATGGTTACTTGATGATGTATCGATGTGATAGATATTTTTATATCTAGATATACGTCATATGTTGTTGCCATAATTAAAGCCGAGACGGCTGCAATATATGTTATACAATATTGTATCGGCATGGTTACTTAATGATGTATCGCGTGGTAGAAATTCTGCCTCGGCCGCAAGCGACCTCGGCTTAAGTATATTATATATTTTCGTCTTAATTTAAACCAAGGTCACCAAGTGGCCGAGGCGCTGCAATGGGTGTTCTACAAAATTGAGCTGTGTGTTATATATATTATATGATTTAAGCACAATTTTATACGTTAACAAATGGAATATTATTTGCAGTAAATTTTGGTTGCAAATTGAGGCGAACTTCCGTTTAATATAATTGTAATTGAAAAAACTGGAAATTTGACCATGGCTAGTAATAAAAGAGAGGTAAATCCCAATTTGTTGCTTTTACAACCAGGAAACCTGAGAATGGAAAATGTAGGTTGAAAAGCAAAAAGCCCTCCCAGGGATTACAATTCTAAATTATGTTCGACATGGAAACGAAATGAAATCTCCCCGAACAAATAAAACTTCTCAACGTGAGGTCCGTTTGTTTTGGCTTTTCTGGAATCAGCGAAAGGGCGTTTCCAATTATGTCTTCGCCATCTGTCAGGCGGTTAGAAGTGGTGACATTTAGCCCTGTAGACAGGGCCCCCGGTATTAACCTCCTAATTCCGACCTAATGACCCAGCACGGGGCACTAATTGACCCCGCAGTTGGAATCAAAGTGACGTCGTCGGGACGTACCCCTCGAGGGTGCCATTCTGGCCGACTGAATTTAACAAACAAGTCCACTTAGGTGGTCAATCGAGAACGCTCAATAATTCGCTACTCCCTCACTACGGAAACCGACATCGAATTTAAACCTTAATGGTAACTTCAAAGAAGCCCTATTCTAACGTGGTTAAAATTGATGTGAATATATGTATGAACGAACCGAAGTAAAATCGAAAGGTCCTAGTGCGTTCTTGAGAACGTGACGCACGGTCCACGTGCGCTTCCTGAAACATCTGTTCGAATAACGTGACTCCAAACCCCTCTTTCCCCATCCCACGTAGTACTGTTTCCATTCTTTCTTTCATTTTGTCATCTCTTCGCCTGAAATTGACTCGGCCGCCATCTGGCGTCGTGTTACATGTACTAGCGGCCAGATAAATGGTTTATTCATGCTCCCATTTGAATCGTGTTTCTTTCTACGTTATTCCTGTGTCAACTTCTGTACCAACGACGAAACAAAACCGGAATATTCGTCGACATTTTTGTTCTAATTCAAAAGCCAACTTTAATAACTCAGTATTCCTAGAATATTATTATGTTATGTTTATTGAAAGGAACTTTGGATTTGAAAGGGTCTATAACATGTAATTAATTCACTATTATATGTGCAAATTGCTTTACTAGATGGAATATTGATCGGTTTCAATTCTTAGATGATTAAAAGAATTAAAACGAACAAAAATGGAGTTATACAAAATTTAAAAAAGGACACAATTGCCCGGTTTAACCAAACCTAATAACAACGAAAAAAGGGAACAAAAAATCGAGTTATAACCGCATATGTGCGATGTGAATGTGTTGAGAAGATAACACAACACAAGCGCAGCGAAAAAATCGAAAAATAAAGCACAAAAAAAAATAAAAAATGGAAAGAGATATTCTGTATACTACCACTTCAGTGTGCCAACAGCTGCGGTTATATCAGCGTTTAAATCGATGTGTTGGGAATTCAAAGTATTTTTTAGAGTTTTTGGCAATTTGGCTGAAAGGCTTTGGGTTGATGTACTCGATGCTTCTTACAAAATGTTCGCCTTTTGTGGACCGTGCTCAAAAGATATCAACACAAATATAGAACAACAAAAATATTGCAAGTAAAACGTATTCACAAATATTTATTTTTTAATTAAAACTCATTATTATTAGGTGCCGAAATAATTTACGACCAACCAAAAGAACAATTACATCAAGACGTTAATCGAGAGGAAGCCGAAGAGTTATTAAGTGGCAAACAAAACGGGACATTTTTAATAAGACCGAGTCAAAACGAGGACTCGCTGGGGACGATTTCCATTAATCAAGACGAAAAAATTTTTCATTTAAACATACGGAAAAGGCCCGACGGAAAGATCGCCTTGGGGAGCGAAAAACACAACGAAAAAACTTTCCAAACACTAAACTCGATGATTAATTACCACATAAGCAATTATTTAATTTTGTATTCAAGGGGTGAAACCTACAGGACTTTATTATTACCTTATAAAAAATAGGATTAAGCGGAAAGACTTGTTAATTAAGTCTTTAAAAGGTAATAAAGTTATATTTAGTCATAAAAAAATATTATTAAGCTTAATATAAACCTATATATATTGTAGCGTCTCGGCTGTAAGTGACCTTGACTTACCTAAGCCGAGGTCGCTTGCGGCCGAGGCAAAATTGTTATCACATCGATACAAAATTAGACAGAATATGTTGTGCCGCTTCGGTTACAAGCAACTTTGGCTTAAGATACAGCAAAAAATGTTTCATCATTTACTTAACCCGAGGTTGCTTGCGGCAGAGGCTAAATTGCTATCACATTGATGATTTTACTTTAACCGAGATCGCTTTGCTATACAATTGTTACCATCTTGATACAATATTGTATAGCGCCTCGGCCGCAAGTTACCTCCGCTTAAATTAAGACGAAAATGTAAAACATAGTCTGTTATAGCCCTATATATTATAGAGGTCGCACTTCTCTCAAGACGGTTAAATCCCAACGTTTCTAGTTCTAGGTCTAATGTTAGTTCTAGTTACAGTGGTAGGTAACGCTCGTTGGCATAAGATATCACTATGTTGCATATATTTATTGCACTAAAACTAGCACTAACACTAGAGCTAGAACTAGAAACATTCGGGTTTAGTGTTAGTTCTAGTTTTACACTAGCGCTATCACTAGAACTAACACAAGACCTAGAACTAGAATTATTCGGGTTTAGTTCTAGGTCTAGTGTTAGTTCTACATAGTAACAGTGGTAGTGTAAAACTCGAACTAACACTATACCTAGAAGTAGAATCATTCGGGTTTAGCCGCCTTTAGAGGCGTGCGGCTAAACCCAAATGATTCTAGTTCTGGGTATAGTGTTGGTTCTGCTTAGTAACAGTATTAGAGTAAAACTAGAACTAAAACTAGACTTAGAACCAGAAGCATTCGGGTTTAGCCGTGCATCTTCAGATTTAAACCGAGACTGCTTGCGATCGAGGCGCTGCATTATGTATTATACAATAATTTAACAAAATGGTTACTTAATGTTGCATCTATGTGGTAAAAAATCTGTATTGGCCGCAACTGATCTCGGCTTAAGTACACTGCGTGACTTGAATTACAACTAGGAATTTAACTTGCTCTTATTATAATCCAATATCAAATAAATTAACCAAACACACATTGCAGCGTCTCGGTCGCGAGTGACCTTGAGATAAAGCTCTGAGGGCATCTTACATGCGAAGGCAACAACAATCAGTGATCCTATGTAATAGTATTTATCAGTTATACAATAGTTAAAAACATGGCTTAAGTTTGATATTCCATTAAACTAAATATATATAATTAAACTTATATATAAGAAAGAAATTTACTGTACCCTATATTTGTGTACTATATCCCCAAAATATCACGATAGAAATATTTGCCAAGAAAACGTAACTGTCCAATTGATTAACGGGGCCGATTTTTCTCATCTTTTTGCATCTCTTTTCTACAAACCAATTTTATCTTTATGTCTCTCTTAAGTCTGGTTGCTTTATAGTATACTCGATAGTAGAGAGTATGTTGTGAACGTAACAGTAGGAGCAAATTATGCTCCATAAACAGGGGAGAGATTTATTCAAAACGACTCGGCGGAGGAAACACGCTCCATGTAAATTACTATGATGCACCATATTAACCCTGTTAAACCGAGAGTATGTTGAATATGTTTGAGAGTTAATAAGACAAAAAAAAACTTGAATTATTATAGATTAAATAAAAATAAATGTAATGAATCAATTTGTACAACAAAAATATTAAAATATCCATTATAAATAAAAAATTATGTGATAAAAGCCGTGATCAATTTGTGATAAATTGGCAAATTAGCTATTCATATATGGAAAATTTCATAAGTTAATTTCCAGTTGGTTGATTTTTGAGCCTTTCGCCAATAACGGGGTCATGTTTTCACCCCATCCATTGTCCGATATAAACGCGGTAGGATAAAATTTGTTTATTATTCGTTGAAAACGTTGCCGTGTCAGGAAACCGAACATAAAACAGCGTATTCGCAGAATCAATATTTGCGCTCGTTTTAAAATTTCGTACAATAAAACGTAAAAATACACATTATTACGGCTCGTAAAACCACTATGTATTTTGTCTTCACTTTTTTTTGTATAATTATTTTACTTCCGTGCAACTTAAACCATTCGATATTTCATCTCGAAATTTCCCACAATTCATACTGCACTAGAATTTATAATTCATTGTACTCGAAGACCGGCTTCAATCAAACAATAGGTCCGTTAGTTAGTCCAATATGAACAGTTTCGAGCGAGGAGAGCTTTAAGCTCTCGGAATGTCCCCTAATATATCAAACTACACAATACGTCATCTTGCGAGTTGTTTCATTAGGTCAAATGAACGACCAATTTCCCTTTACGAGAAGAGGATTTCGGCTTATTGTTTAGTAATGTGTGGAGAATGCAGTAAGTATGGAAAATAACTTCAACTATAATCTCGGATTAGAAACGTTGAGCAGTATGGTTCAGCTTATTTTATTTATGTGGATTAAACAGGTAACCTAATCACAATGCTAGCTTTAACATGGTGATATATATTAGAAATAAACTCACCTCTTAATTTGTTAACATTCAGCTAAATGGTAAAAGTCAATTTATTGTAGTAATAAATAAAAATACACTAACAGTCTCTTTATAAATAGATGTGGTGCTACACTTTTGAATTTAACCTAGAAACGCGACGACATGGACCATCACGTCCAAGTCGAAACCGATTCGATTAACCCCGATGGATCGACGTAACAAAACGGGCGTTAAAAACAACCTAGGTCACGTGACGTAACCTTATTCGATTCAGATTAACCCTAAACCAAAAATAAATTCAAAACGTAAAAAAAATAATCCGAAAATCAATTTCTATTTGGTTATCATTTCCAATTTGACGACATTCGGAGGAATCATTTTTCTTGAAGGCCAGAAAATGAAAAATAAAATTCCGCACCGAAAACACGTCTTGTTTCCGCTCACCACCGGAGATAGAGTTTTATTTTTGTTAGGGGGAGGATGTTCGGACGTCGGCGCGGAGTCCCGGTGCAGCGTCCGTCGACGACCAACGTCGCTGCTCGACTGCGGGCGCTCCGTGAAAACGTCGGCGTCGCGACGCCGGGGCTGCCGCCCGATCTGCGCGGGGTGCGGCCCGCCTGCGCCCCGACATCGATCGTCCCCAACACCGACGTTATGGAGAGAACCCGGAACGCGCTCCGAGTATGTATTATACATGACCCCCTCGTTCGGTCTTCGTTCTTCTTGGGGTCCGCAAATCTACGCAAGTTACGTCGTCGTCGACGTCGTGGTACAACTTCGCTTTTTTAACGATAATTCGTATATTTTTATTCCCCTTACACATCAAATTAAATAAAAAATTAAAAATTCCGGCGCCTCCACCATTTTTTCGTAATGTTTTTATTACTTAATTATTTATCTAAGAAGTTTCATAAAAATTTTATCTATCAGGAAGGGTATAAAAGAACGTTAAGTAAGGTCATTGACTCAAAAGTTGAGGATACATGGAAGATGAACCGTTAATAACAGTGACGGATATGAAAACACAGCGGCAATTACGCTTAAAACCAGAAGAGAAGGCAGAAAGGGAAATTAAAGTAATGATGGGGATGGATTTAAAGTGGGGAGAACGCATTAATCATGCAACTGGGAGAGCTCAAAGAACAATTCAAGCGTTATACAGGGTAATAGGATTAAGTTACAACATATAATTGCATCTCTAACGAGGATAATAAAATACGTTCGATGTTAATAATATAAAAAAAACATCAACAAGCCGATTTGATAGTTAAAAGAGATTTCAACTTGTTTTTGAACGAATACGTAGAACAAAGATATCAGACTGTTTTTGAAACCTATATGTAATTCAAAATCCAAACCAGTTTGTTTTTGATATGATTGTTTAGTATATAGTTCAATTATTGAAGGAACTCTGTTTAGTGAACCTCTGTCGAACTCTAATTCTTCCATGCCTGCTCGTTGCTCCTTCTCAACCCTCACTAAAGTCTTGTTTTATCTATAACCAAACGATACGTCTTTCATGCTAACATCGAAAGTTGCTAACATTGAAAGTGAACGTGAGCTTGAAAAAAACACTAAAATTATTTCATCTCCTATCTCACCTTCATCCGAAACTTGTGCTATTTCGGCATTACTTCTTTGAATGCCAACGTCAATGTAAAAATCTATGTGTAATTCCATACACATTCATCTTTCGCTACAACTCTTCCACTTCACTTTTTCCATATCCCTCCTTAACCACTTACTCATATCTCATCCAGTTTGCCATTTCATTGTCGTAATATTTCTTTCTCTCTATTCCTTAATATTATTACATTTCCATTAAAATAACTTTTCTATAGCTTTATCTCCATTGAAAGTCGATACCGCTACTGCGGCGAATAATTCTCTCTCCCACCTAGAAGGCCAGGAAATGTCATTTTTTATAATAAGGTTCTAAATAAAAATAGTAATAATTAAATTGGTAGGTATATCATACAACTTACTGATTAATCAATAAACTTCCTCCAAAATTAGATCCACTTACATTAACACAAGAATAATTGCTCACTATAAACTAAAACGATTCAGACTCTATTAATTGTACGGAATAAAGGATACAAAGTCGCGCTAGAAGCATTTCACTCAATTACCCTCAAGCGGAATTGGAATAGCGTGCAATAATTGTTTGAATCATCAGGTGAACGGCGTGCGAGTGTCTTGCGAGACACCGGAAATAAATCATTCGCCCGCAGCAGTTGAGTCGGGGGCCCCCCCCAGACTAATTAAAATTAATAGCAGAACCCTCCCGGTGTTTCAACTGACGCGAAATTCGCCGCGAAAACCAGAATCAACCGCGAGTATATACAGAAAAATATATTAATTCTCGTTAATATTTTGTTTTTTAAAGGTTTTTTTTTAAAACAACAAAAACAAATATCAAAGTTAAACTGTCTAAAAATTTGTCGAAAACACGATTTTGTTTTATATTTTATAATTAAACGAAGCGTTAAAATTTCGAGAGAAATCGACAATTTGTGAAGTAACACGATCCTATCAACAAGCCATACAATACGCAGTTTTGGATGTCTATATGTATTTTATATTTCAGGTTACTGATGAATGTCGGGTTTTAAATTTATGGTTACTCGATTTACAGTTGGTATTATTTAATCACAATATAACCATATAAATGTCTTTGAACCTTTTTCGGGCTTATCTAAAGCGGGGGCAATTAATTTATTTCGTAACAAAAAACTTTTAAAGGAATGTTAAAAAAGCGGTGAAAATGACCCTCTTCAACATGCAACCCGAATTCTGTCCAAAAACGTATTGATACATTTTATCGGTTTCACCAAAAAAAGAGGGAAATCAATTGCCCCTCTGGTTTGAAAAAAGAGTGAGTAATGAAGGGTTTTCGGCCCTTTTACCCTTTGACACACAGTTGACGTGTGTATAAAGAAAAAAACGGATGATTTTTTTATACGTACCCTCTGGGCGAGATAAATTTTTGAAAATGCTTCTTTCACGCATTATTTCTCCAAAAATCACTTCCACGCCTAAAAATTAATCAAATTAAATAAGGAAATATCAAAAAAGAAATACTTACACTTTTATATTTGACATTTGACAAAAAATTTTTACACTCACTAGTGGGGACATCTATCGGAGTTATTTATAATTTTTATTACAATTATTAAAATCAAATAAATTTGTTAATTTTATTGCAATTACAATAAAACATATAAATTAAACCTAAAATATAAATCTTAAATTAAGAAGTATACTAAATTTATTAAATAGAAAAAGATGTAGACACGAAATTTTACACTTACTAGTGGAGACATCTATCGGAGTTATTTTTAATTTTTGTTACAATTATTAAAAACAAATAAATTTATTCATTTTATTGCAATAACAATAGGAACATATAAGTTAAACTAAAAATATAAATCTTAAATTAGAACGCGAAAAATATCCATTAAATACTAAAAGATGAAGCATAAAAACGTCACTTAAATGACAACTTCCACATAGTATATAAAAAAATCAATGAGGAAGATAAGTAAAATCTGATATATTTTATAAAGACTTTTTAAAAGATAATAAGCACGTGATTTTTTAACTATGGGTTTAATATTTAGTAAGAAAAAAGCTCCAAGTCGAATAACCGAACAAGACAAAGCCGTTTTAGTAAGTTAACCCCCTCAAATAATTAAACCAAAATTTGAGGTTATATTTTAGCAATTAAAACAACAAAGGGATAAAATAAAGCAATACCAAAAAAGAATAGAAGGGCTTTTAGAAAAGGATCGTTTATTAGCCAAGAAGCTACTTAATAATGGCCAAAAAGAGTAAATTTTTAATCTAAAATATTTTTTTGAGGTTATGTTTATTAATCATATCTTTTAGACGTGCTAAATTGTTATTGCGCAAAAAACGTTATCAAGAACAATTATTGGAACGGGCGGATGGGCAATTACAAAACTTGGAGAAAATGACTCACGACATAGAATTCGCCCAAATTGAAATTCAAGTTGTAAATGGCTTAAAACAAGGAAACGAAGCATTGAAAAAGTTAAACGAGGCTATGAGTATCGATGAAATTGAAAAAATTTTGGATGAGACTAGAGAAGGGGTCGAGAAACAACAGGAAATTAATGATTTGCTTAGTGGGGTGCTTACACAAGATGATGAAGACGCTGTTTTAGCTGAATTTGATGCTATGGTCGCTGATGAATTACCAACTATTGATGATGTGAAAGATCCGGGAGTATTAGAACTCCCCGATGTTCCTGAGGACGAAATAGAGGTGAAAAAGCAAAAGAAAATGAAAGAAAAAGTTGCTTTAGAAGCTTAGTATTTATTTAAATTTGTGATTATAATTTTTAATATTTATTAATAAGTATTTTTTATAAAAATTTAAAAAAAATTTAATTTGTTAATACTAAAAAAGTTAAAGCCCCAACTCAGCTTCTTCTTCAGCGGTTAACTCGTAAGATTGAGTTGGTTTTTCTCCAACAAGAACCTCTTCAACATCAAGATCATCATCTTCCCCATTAAAAATTCCACTTCGAATCTTCCTCCCACTTTTATAGATAGATTTATCAACTTGTTCCCCAGGGGGAATCGTTAAATCACCTTCATACTCAATAACTTGATTTTGAGCGATTCTCCACTCAAAAACATCGGTGGTGAAATCATCTCGATTCCCTAAAGTGGAAAAACCAATAATTTTATCAACCAAAATCCCTTTTTGGATACAAACAATCGTTGGGATTATCTTAATTTTGAGTCTTTCGGATAAAAAGGGAGATTTCTCAGCGTTTATTTTCGTAAAAAGGGTTTCTATATGCTTTGGGGCCAATTTTTTCATGTGCATATCAACTATTCTCGATCGCTCATTGGTGTTTGTGTAGAAATGCAGCACGATATTGTCGGATTTTTTGATAATTTCGAAAAATTGCTTTTCTTCTTTGAGTTCATCGTATTGTCCGTGACCATTTGCCAACCAATCTATACGTTTTTGCTCCTTTTCTTTTAATTCCTTAATACGTTGTTGTCGTATATTTTCTATATCGTTTACATCTAAATTCTCTATTTTTTCGATAGCCGCATCTACTTGCTTTTCAATTACCTTCGTTACTTGAAGCAGTTGGTCTTCTAATTTCGACATTTCTTTATTAATTGATTACGTTTGATACTAATTTAGGTATTTGTAAGTAATGGATCGATTTTTAATAAGATTTGCGGTTTAAAACAAGCTTTTTAATAGAAATTAACGATAATTTTAACCGGGTGGTGAACTTTTTCTTTGTAGGAGTGGAAAGAAATGGAAGTGTCAAATTTGACGTTTGAGGTTAAATTAAAACAAAAAAGCGCACTCTATGATTTATTAGCGTAACTAAATGTAAATAATTTTTTTTTTTTAATAAAATTAATTTAATTCTTTTTTATAATATAATTATTGGTATTAATTAAATTAATGCAATATTAAATAAAAATAAATATTTTTATTAAAACTTTCACTTTATTATTTTGACATGCTTAATTTTGAGGTTATGTTGGTTTAGTGAGGTTATATTTGTTAATTGAATAAAATGGATATTAAACCGGGTGATTTCGTTATGCCAGGGGATACCATCAAAGATATATCATCAATTAAAAATTTAGTTATTATAGGACCCGGTTTACATCAAGGAAACGATGTAAATACTTTAATAATAACTAGACCTGGAATACTTTGTCATAAACCCCACAATATTTACTGGGTTGAGACTCCCCATAAACGTTACATCCCGAAAAAAGGTGATTTGGTGGTTGGGGTGATCGTAAAGAAATCTGGGGATGCTTTGAAAGTCGATATAGGAAGCGCGGAGCAAGCCGCTTTATCATTATTGTCTTTTGAAGGAGCCACGAAGAAACAAAAACCTGATTTGCAAGTTGGTGATTTAGTTTATGCAAAGTTATTAAGTGCTAACAAGGAGATGGAGCCGGAATTAGTGTGTATTGACAAATATTATAAAGCCGGTAATTTAGGCCCATTAAGTTCTGATGGATTTTTGGTTAACGTTCTACCGGAATTTGTCTATAAATTATTAAACGTTGAAAATCCTTTATTGAGGACGTTAGGGAAGAAATTTCCGTTTGAAATCGCAGTGGGAATGAATGGAAAAGTCTGGTTTAATGCAAAGAGTACAAGTGATTGTTTAACATTGATGAGAGCTTTATTAGTTGCTCAACATCAAAAGGAAAAAGAAATTATTGAAGCATGTAATAAACGTTAATATTTAATAAACTTTTTTTTTCTTTTCAAGGACTTTGCACTTTCAACAGGTGCTCAATAAATGTTTAATAAGTAGTTTAACATCTGACGCAATATCTGTTATCAAAATTATCCATTATAATTAAAATTTGCAAGATAATCATTAAACAATAATAAAAAGATTAAATGGAATCTTTAACCTTTCCCTACACATAGATAATTAAGTTTATTTTGGACCTAAAAATTATTTCTTGCATAATAATATTAAAAATAATTACAATTCACAAGTTCAAAGTTTCTAATTTTTGTCCTCGTTAAATTTAAATCGAAATTACATCAAAAACGCAAAGAACACCTCATAGTTCAAAGTCCAAACGATTTCCTAGATTAAATCCATATCTAAACGCAAGGTAAGGATGAAATTGGCAAAAAAATCGTTTTACAAACATCAGTTGCGTTCAAGATCCCAGACGGACCGCACACGACCGTTACAAAACGAAATTTAACGAGAATTAAAAATGACACAACCCATAAACGGCGTAAATGGATGTAACGGTAAGTTTTAGATACGATTTGTATAAAAAATATGAATTTTCTATTTATTTTAAAAAAATACTTGACGTTTAATTTGACGTTTCTGTGACAGATAATTAACCTCACTTTTATTTTACCTGTTTAAAGGTGTGAACGGGAAGTCTGAGAGCTTGGATTATGAAGAAATTGAAATTCCAGTACCATGGGGTATTATTAGTGGTGAGTAAAAATTATTATTACTACATTAAAATGGATTAATTAATTAAAATATTTTTCAATAAAAAAAAAATTAGGTTGGTACTGAATTGATGGAATATTTAAATAAATAATTTTTTTATAATAAATTAATAAAAATAATATTTTTATTTGTAGGAAAATGGTGGGGCTCAAAAGAACAACAACCATTTCTTGCATTACATGGTTGGCAAGATAATGCAAACACTTTCGATAATTTAGCCCCATTGTTGATACAGGAAGGTCATTCAATTCTAGCGATTGACCTACCAGGTCATGGTCGATCATCACATTATCCTCAAGGAACTTACTATTACATTTTCTGGGATGGTATCCACTTAATAAGAAGAATTGTAAAACATTTTAAATGGGAAAAAATTGATTTATTAGGACACTCATTAGGCGGTATAATGTCGTTTTTATACGCCTCAGTGTACCCTGAAGAAGTAGGAAAATACATCAGTATAGATATAGCAGGCCCAGTTACTAAAAGTGAAAAAACCCACCAAATTCTCGGTGGCTCTGTTGACAAATTTTTAGAATTTGATAACTTAGATGAAGAAAAAACCCCAACTTACACATACCAAGAAGCTTTTGATATCTATAAAAAGGCCTACGAAAAAAATGCGAATGAAGAATCATGTCGGATATTGTTAGAGCGAGGTTTAAAAAAGAACGAAGATGGGAGTTACTCATTTGCGAGAGATTTACGATTAAAAGTATGCGCGTTAGGATTCTTCACTGTTGATCAAGTGATGGGGTTCGCACAATGTGTTAAATGTGATGTTTTAAACATCAGGGGTAATCCAGGTATGGATTTTCCCCCAGAAAGATATGATGCGGTTTTAGATGAAATTGAAAAAACCTGTGGGAGATTAGTACGAAAAGTCGTTCCAGGAAAACATCATTTACACCTTGATAACGCAAAAGACGTAGCCAATGTTATTATTGAGTTTTTACAAGATTATTAATTATTCATTTGAATTGGACAAAAAAATCAGGTTAATGAGACTTAGTTTTAATTTGTTGTAGACTATATTTAACGTATTATTTATTATTTTATGTTTAGTGTGTTAGTGTAAGGTTGAACTATGTGATACACAAAGCCTTTATTAAATAATTAATAAATTATTTGCACAAAATTTTTTTTTTTTGAGGTTATATTTAAATTTGACGTTTCGTAATAATGAGGTTAGATTATAATAAAAAAACTAAATAAAGTTAATCCCGTTTTATTTAAGAAATGCTTTTAATATAAAAAATACATTGCTTATAAAATCAGTCTTCCTTAAAACCTTACAACTTAGCCTTTAATTTTCCTATTAATTTCAACAATTTTACAGCTTTCTGTAAACTCCAGAAAAATTTTTTTTGACGTTATTGCTAATTTTAACGTTTTGTAATAATGAGGTTAGGTTGTTTTAAAAAATCTAAATAAATTTAATATATTGCTTATAAAATCAGTCTTCCTTAAAAACTTACAACTTAGCTTTTAATTTTCCTATTAATTTCAACAATTTTACAGCTTTCTGTAAACTCCAGAAAATTTTTTTCTTGAGGTTATACCTAAATTTGACGTTTTATAATAATGAGGTTAGGTTATAATAAAAAAACTAAATAAATTTAATCCCGTTTTATTTAAGAAATGCTTTTAATATAAAAAAATATATTGGTTATAAAATCAGTCTTCCTTAAAAACTTACAACTTAGCCTTTAATTTTCCCATTAATTTCTCCAACTTTAAAGCTTTCTGCAAATTCCCCGCTATCTTTAATTTTCCGGTCATATAAGCAGCACTAGGTTTTAATTTCCCATCGAACATGCTAAAGAAATTCTTACTATCCATAGTTAAGGTGCAATCAGCAGGATGCGATGGTTCACCTTGTCCGTATTTCCCAGTCCCATTCTTCAAATCCAAAAACCATTTTCCCGCTTCATCCCCGGTTAAAACAAACTGATAAATCGACCCTACGCTGGCTACTAAATCCGCATTCAAAGACTCCCCAATTTTTTTAAACAAAAACGGGACTTTACCAGCTTCACTTTGTGATTGTTTTCGGTTTGTTATGCTATCGGCTTGTTCATATAAACCACCTGGGTTCTCATCAACAAAGAAATCGCGCATTAATTGATCTTTAAACGCTGGGTTAACGGCGTATGGGGTTAAATCGGTGATTCCGGCTTCTTTTAAAACATCTTCATCGATAAAGAAATTACCCGTTGTCTTTTTTGGGTCTTTCGTTAACACTAAATAAGCAGCATCCGCCATTATTTCGGGTTTTCTTGAATAATTAGCCGATTCTGAACCTGAGAGCATTTCAATTGCTGCCGTATGAATTGCTAAAAATAAAAATTAATAATAAGTTGGGTTTTTTTCAAAAAAAAAATTCTTTTTATACCAGTTAAAGGCCAAAGAGCATTAACACCAATTCCATATTGTCTAAATTCTTCATGCATCCCCAAAACGCACATTGACATTCCATATTTAGCCATTGTATAAGCTACATGATTTGAAAACCATCCCGGAGACATATTTAGAGGTGGTGAAATGTTTAAAATGTGGGCGTGGGAGCTTTTTTGTAAATATGGAAGACATTCTTTAGACCTTAAAAGAGAAATTTAAGCTTTATAATTATTAATTAATTGGTTAGTACATTAGAAAAGTTCCTCTTGTATTAATATTATGCATCAAATCATATCGTTTCATTTCTGTTTGAGGGGTTGGAGTTAAAGAAATCGCCGAAGCGTTGTTTATTAAAATATCGATCCCGCCGAATTTATCAACAGCTTGTTGGACCACTGAACGTACTTGCTTTTCATCTCTTACATCCAAAATGCATGGTAAAGCTTTTCCACCGGCTGCTTCAACTATTAAGATTTAAAAAAATTAATACCAATACATTAAGAATCACTTTCTTAACTTACTTTCTTTTGCTGCTGTATAAATAGTTCCTGGTAATTTAGGATGGGGCTCGGCTGTTTTGGCTGCTACAACAATGTTAGCTCCATCCCGAGCTGCTCTTAAAGCAATTGTTTTTCCTATTCCTCTACTTGCACCGGTTATTAAAATAGTACGACCCGCTAAATTCGATACCATCTTGAGTTTTTAAAAGAAGAAGTACAACAGAAATTGGAACAACAACGTACAGCAATAAATTACGGTAAGTTATGTTAAATGGTGTTACTGGGTAAAGTCCGATTTCTACAAGTGTTTAAAAAGTTGCCTACTCATTGGGGGTTTATTGTTTATGATTTTAAGACACAAAGATCAAAGTGTAATATTTAAATTTCATTTCTAAAAATAAATTGGAATGATTTATTAAAGTTGGAGTATTTTCCTTGATAGGTTAGGTTAATGTCAAAATTACCACATTTTTGAAAATCACTTTTTTAAATGAAATTAAAACTGAACTAATGATATATTATATATCATCTTAAAAAGGATGCTTTAAGGTTTTATTTAAGATATAAGTCATTTCTTAATAACCAAAATTAAAGCTAGAATGATTTATTAAAGTTTTAGTATTTTTCTTGATAAGTTAGGTTAATGTCAAAATCACATTTTTGAAAATCACTTTTTAATGAAATTAAAACTGAAGTAATGATACATTATATATCATCTTAAAGAGGGTGTTTTAAGCTTTTATTTAAGATATAAGTCATTTTTTAATAACCAAAATTAAAGATAGAATGATTTATTAAAGTTTAAGTATTTTCTGTAATAGGTTAGGTTAATGTCAAAATTACAACGTTTTTGGAAATCACTTTTTTTAATGAAATTAAAACTGAAGTAACGATACATTATATATCATCTTAAAAAGAATGCATTAACCTTTTATTTAAGATATAATTCGTTTCTTAATAATCACAATTAAAGCGAGAATGATTTATTAAAATTTTGAGTATTTTCTTTGATAAGTTAGGTTAATGTCAAAACTACAACATTTTGAAAATCACTATTTTGAATGAAATTAAAGCTTAAGTAATGATATGTTATATATCATCTTAAATAGGATATTTAAAGCTTTCATTTAAGATATAACTCATTCGTTAATTTATGAATATAAACCGGAAGTGAATTTTTTAATTCCCAAAAATAAAGCACAATTTAAATTTAACAAAAAAATTCAAAAACGTCATTAGTTGTAATAATTAAATATAAACATTAAATAATTAAATTTTTTATTTTTAAAAATACATTACAGTTTTCTGTAAATTATAGATTCCTTTATTTAGTTTTGACATTTAATGACATTTCATTCATTATAACCTTTAAATTTGAATCTAAATTTTTTACTACAGTAATTGTTTTTTTAAGAAATTTTACAATCTAACAGGTAAATTAACACACATCATTTTAAACAGGTCATTTTAAGCTTTTATTTAACATATAAAGTTCGTTTTCTTTTATAGGATAGGTTAACATTAAAATTTCAACGTTTTTTTTGAATAAAATTGCAAATAAAATATGTATTATTACTTTACATATCATTTTGAAAAGGATATTTCAAGCTTTTATTTAAGATATATTATTTTAACCAACACTTTCAATTTCATAAAATCGAACTTGAAATGTATACCATTAACAAAATCGAAATATCCCAAAACAAAAAAAAGCGTTGCATAAATCAAGACGTTTTCGCCGGTTCACACCTGCGCCTTGCAAATCCTCATAAATCGAGGGCATAAAAATTCATCATCGGCAAAGAGAAAAACGAGGGAGAAAGCGAACGCATCTGGCGACGATTTTAACGCGTCCCTTCAAACTTGGAATATCATTTACTGTCCTTGTCATTCGAAGCCGCCCTTCTCTTCAATCCTCGAGTACGCGATCGTGTCAAAAAGGGCTTTGAGCGATCACCTACATGACTCAGATTTTAAAGCTAATCAGCTGTTATTGACCGATGGGGTTGTGGGGATTGTATAAATGTGTGAGTGGTAAAGTTGTTTTGGATGGAGTTGGATAAAATAAAATGATGATATTTAAAGTAAGAAGAGGACGTAAATCACACTTAGGTAATTGCCACGTCAGTGGCGTCCGTTACTGGCCGGGCAGGACCATAAATAAGGAGACACTTACTCCTCCGCCTGCGCTCCAGTTAACCCTGAACCTCAGAACTTTGCCTGTGTCTCCGTGCCTCCCAACGACCGCAAACTTATTCCCCAATTTATAGTTACAAGTGTTCCCTGCAAGTGTTACTCTCCCCGTTCGTGGAAGAGGCCTGATTTACGACGCGCTCCCCTTAATAAGTAATTTCAAGTTAGGTTTTTGGGCTAACCGGTAATGTCATGAACTTTACCAGGTGCTTTGTGTGTTGTAAATTGTATTTTATGACTTTACAAACATCATGGTTTCATCACACAAATAAAGTTGACTTTCAATTTACTAAATGGAATTTGAAAAGTTTTTTTGATGATAAAACGATATCACTCATAAACGCCAGTATGCGAAGTAGTTCGAGCATGTTTGCCAGCATAACCGAGTTAGTGCAAGTGACAGGCCACTCTCTAATGGCGGGTTGAGCGGACGCCGAGACTGTCGACTATAATTAAATTAGCGCGAGAACCGTCGCATTTTCTAGAGCCTGTCTGGGTGTACTTAATTATTTGGAACCGGGTCAAATACTAAGACCCGTTGACAGAAGGTAAAGTGTCAACTTTAAAACATATTGCATTAACACGAGATTAGCATAAAGACGCTGATCTTTTCGTGTTCTAAACGGGGGTAGCGTGACACTCGGTAATAATTCATTCTACAACTTGTTGATTTAAGTACACTCGGTTAAATAGCGTAGACATATTTTAGTTGTATTGCACACCTTGCGATTTAGATTAAATCGTTGTTTATTAGGGAAAAAAAGAAATTTTCCGATCGATCTTAACACCCCTTTTTTCAAACCCCAATCGATCACAAATAATCTCTTTGAAAGATTTCACCCTTCCACAACTGACTTTAATTATACCATCTGTGATATATAAAGATATGAAATAATATACAATTTGTGTCAAAAAGTCTGCAGTAGTTTTAAGTTGATATGATTTTTATCTGTATGGCTTGGCCGCAAGTATTCTTGGTATAGTTTTAATCGGTCTAATAAATTAAATTATCTACAATTGTACCTGGTGACACCGAGCCGAGGCACTATGACATGCTGTAGTTCGACTGCTAGCAACCTCGGCAGTTAAAATTGCTTATTTAGAGATAAGGAAACGACTTTTTGCGATCGCGTAATTTTTTTTGCAACTGCCAAATTTGAATTGTGTGTGCTCATCGTGTTCTTTAGATCATTCAACATCTTACCAATAAAAAAAAATTTTCAAAAATTAAAATTTCAAATTTAGAGCTAATAAAGTGAAGTAATTTTTTTTGCTACCGCCAAATTTAAATTGTGTGTGCTCATCGTGTTCCTTAGGTCATTGGGAACTTCATAGTAATTAAAAAAATTTTCAAAAATTAAAATTTCAAATTTAGAGCTAATAAAGTGAAGAAAATAGTGTGTTACTAACTTTTTGACTAACACTGTAAGTTGAGATTCGAATAAAATCTCATAGAAAATGGGACATCTGCGTGACAAAACTCGATGTCGCACTTTGAGAACTATTGGGTCATTACAATTTTTTTTTTGGGAGAACAAAATAAGGTCACATAGTCTGTTAGGTTATGGGGGCGACACCCCATGGGGGTGCGACCCCATTTTAACCCTTAGAATTACGTCATCTTTATCGTCCCGGAAAATCGACGATTTTAAATAGTGTACCATTGACCTTGAAACTTTTAAAGTAAAGCTAATAGTAGACAGTAATTTATCTCTGTTTCTAGCTAATGATCTGATCGATAGATACACGTTTCGTCCATTAAAAACCGATGTTGCATTCGGATCGCGAATACCCCCAAAACACAGTGTCCATTTTTGGGGTGTATTAAAATTAATACATTAATGCTTTGGGTGGGCTAAATATGTTAGAACGGAGCGAATTTCTCCAGTCAGCTTCCATTAGTTATTAGGTTGGGTCATTAAAATGCATGAACTGCACTCCGCTGAGTTCTTAAATCTTTTTAATTGCTTGCAACATGTGTGTGAAGCATCGGCCTGTGTAATTCAGTCGTTATTTATAGGTCTATTACCAGCGTTGTTTTTACCAACTTCTGCTATTCCCTTTTTACGTTTTCGAGGAGGATTTACGAGTTACGTGGGGACTTTTTTTTCTACTTACATGAAATATGATTTTTATTTACTTTTTAATAGCCAAGTTTTGAATTTGTAATCGATTTGATAGGAGAAAGTTCTTTTTGGTTTGATCAACAAGAAGTGGGGGGATGGATTTCGGTTGGCTCGGGGGTACATGGCAATCACGAGGAGCTATACTAACTACGACCGCCCCCGGGGCGCGTCGAACAACCGCCGCATAGCAATGCCGAAAACGTATTTTTCATGTCACGCCGTAACCGAGCCTTTGTTTGCACCCCGAGTTGCGGACTTCGTCGGTCTGCGTACGTGTCGCAAGTAAACGAACTAAGTTTTTCGCCCTCCAAAAACAAGAATAAGGGCGAAATCCTAATTAAACGGGAGTTAAAAGGTTTAGAGACTATTAAAATCGGTTGCGTTCAAGCCGTCTTAAGAATTCCGGATAAACTTTAACCTGGGTGGCCGATTTAAGCGAAAATGACAATTTCCCTTAAAAGGTGGCGTCCCAACAAAAGATTGAACCCCATTTTCCGAATTGAAAGAGGAGAAGATTAGAATCTACTTCTTTTATTCACAATGTTCAATATTTCGGAAAGTCTAGGATGAAAATGTTAAAATAGAATGTGTGGTATTTTAGGGGATAAAATGGAATTATCACTCTTGGAGTGTGCACAAAGTAAATGGTGCACCCTCTATAGAGCATGTAGGGGTTCATTGCTCATTACCCTAGTCAGTGTGCTAGTGTGTCACAGACTGGACCCCATAATAAGGCATTGATCTGTATTGATTTATGGCCTATAGAGAATAGCCCCTCGTTTGGGGTTGGGTGCACCCCCCAGACTTTATCATCAGATTGCGTATGCACCCCGCATTCAAAACGAAATACACAATGAACAGAACTAAGGATTTTCTAATACTATTTCTATTTAATTTGAGATTATTTCAGATTAACACTTTATTTTTAAATTTATTTCACAATTACAAAACAATTTGAAAATTCTAAAAAACTGTTTGACTTGGAAACTTTAAATTTGGTTAAATAACCTAACATCAAACATTCTTTTACAACCTCAAAAAGTTTCATTTCTCAATTCCAAACCGCATTGGAGAAAAAAGTTTTTTCTTTAATCTTATTGTCCAAAAACGTCAAATTGAAATCTATGAACTTTAAACATTTTTATAAACAGCACCGTTTAATCTAGAAACTTTAAATTTGGTATAACCTAACCTCAAACATTCTTTTATAACCTCAAAAAGTTTCATTTCTCAATTCCAAACCGCATTGGAGAAAAAAGTTTTTTCTTAATCTTATTGTCCAAAAACGTCAAATTGAAATTTATGAACTTTAAACATTTTTATAAACAGCACCGTTTAATCTAGAAACTTTAAATTTGGTATAACCTAACCTCAAACATTCTTTTATAACCTCAAAAAGTTTCATTTCTTATTTTCAAACTGTATTGGAGAAAAAAGTATTTTCTTAATCTTATTGTCCAAAAACGTCAAATTGAAATTAATAAACTTTAAACATTTTTATAAAAAGAACCGTTCAACATGGAAACTTTAAACTTGGTATAACCTAACCTCAAACATTCTTTTATAACCTCAAAAAGTTTCATTACTTATTTTCAAATTGTATTGGAAAAAAAATTTTTTCTTAATCTTATTGTCCAAAAACGTCAAATTGAAATCAATGAACTTTAAACATTTTTATAAACAGCACCGTTTAATCTAGAAACTTTAAATTTGGTATAACCTAACCTCAAACATTCTTTTATAACCTCAAAAAGTTTCATTTCTTATTTTCAAATAGTATTGAAAAAAAAAATGTTTCTTAATCTTATTGTCCAAAAATGTTAAATTGAAATCGATGAACTTTAAACATTTTTATAAACAGAACCGTTTAATTTAGAAACTTTAAATTTGGTATAACCTAACCTCAAACATTCTTTTATAACCTCAAAAAGTTTCATTTCTTATTTTCAAATTGTATTGAAAAAAAAAATTTTTCTTAATCTTATTGTCCAAAAACGTCAAATTGAAATCAATGAACTTTAAAATTTTTTATAAACAGCACCGTTTAACCTGGAAACTTTAAATTTGGTATAACCTAACCTCAAACATTCTTTTATAACCTCAAAAAGTTTCATTTCTTATTTTCAATGAACTTTAAAAATTTTTATAAACAGCACCGTTTAATCTAGAAACTTTAAATTTGGTATAACCTAACCTCAAACATTCTTTTATAACCTCAAAACGTTTCATTTCTTATTTTCAAACTGTATTGGAGAAAAAAGTATTTTCTTAATCTTATTGTCCAAAAACGTCAAATTGAAAGCGATGAAATTTAAACATTTTTATAAACAGCACCGTTTAATCTAGAAACTTTAAATTTGGTATAACCTAACCTCAAACATTCTTTTATAACCTCAAAAAGTTTCATTTCTTATTATCAATGAACTTTAAACATTTTTATAAACAGCACCGTTTAATCTAGAAACTTTAAATTTGGTATAACCTAACCTCAAATATTCTTTTATAACCTCAAAAAGTTTCATTTCTTATTTTCAAACTGTATTGGAGAAACAAGTATTTTCTTAATCTTATTGTCCAAAAACGTCAAATTGAAATCGATGAAATTTAATCATTTTTATAAACAGAACCGTTTAATTTAGAAACTTTAAATTTGGTATAACCTAACCTCAAACATTCTTTTACAATCCCAAAAAGTTTTATTTCTTAATTCCTAGCTGTATTAGAGAAAAAAAAATTTTTTTTGATAAAGTAATTTTTAAAGTGTCAAATTGAAAAGTGGTTTTATTTTATAATTCCAATTTATTTACGAAAAAAGAGAATGTTTTTAGGATCGATTTAAGTTTTTGAAAATCTCTTGAGAATTCATCAATTACGAAATCCTTCGAAAGCTCATTAAGTACCCGAAACCGAAGTAATATTTCTTAAAGTTGGAGTGACAGCGCGTTGCGCCGTTTTCCGGAGGGATTTTATTTGCATTTTCAGCTTTTTCCGGCCGTCGACTTCGTTGCTGAAAGCGTTCACGTAGCTTACAATCTCCCTACTTCAATATATCGACGGGGCGTGTTCCTTTTCCTTTTCCACTGACTGTATGGAAAAAAAGTCCGTAGGCAAATACAAATAGAATATAAGAATGTTACATTTCTGTATATGACACGCTTCCGATTTTACAGCAAAAATAAATCTAAGTTATTGATTTAAGATAACTTTATCGGATTCAATTACATTTTATCATACAAAAATAAAATGTTGTATATCTTTATGTAAACGTAAACGATATGAATCAAACTGTTGGTCTAAATAAAACCCACTTGCCAAGTTATTAAACGCAACGATTGTACTTTAACCTTTATTCTCGAACCGCATATTTATATTGCAGCACAATCTCCACTAGATCGGTAGACAACACACGAATTTAATAAAATGTCTCTCGTGAAATTAAGCAGATCTCTTTTAAACAAAGGGATTAACAAGAATTTTAATGAAATATTAAGTGTGGGTGTGCAACAAAAAATTTCGTAAGCTAATTAATTCCTTTTTAAAACTTATTTTAACATATCCTTTGGGTTAGTTCTCAGAAATTTTCATCAAGCTTGCTTAAAACGCAGCCAAAAATCTTAAACATTCCTAAATGCGTCTCCATCCCTTTTATAAGCAACTATTCAACTGATAAAGGGAAAGTTGAAGTTTTATTTCAAACCGTCCAACAAAGTTTAACACCGGAATTGGTTAAAAAAGTTAATTCGATTTATCAATTTGATTTATCTGGTGACGAAAAAGGAAAATGGTAAATATAATCAAGTTAATTAATAGATAAATTAATTAATAAATGTTGTAGGTTCTTAGATTTGAAAGGTGAAACTGGAAAATATGGAAAAGGAGAGCCACCACAACCAGCCGATGTAACTCTAACAATGGACAGTAAGAATTTTTTGAAAATGTTCGATGGTAAACTAAAACCCACAACGGCTTACATGACGGGAAAATTGAAAATTAAAGGAAATTTGCAGGTTGCTCTAAAACTTGATAAGATTATGGGTGAACTTAAAAAATAAGTTTGATTTTAGATAGAAATATAAATAATTTAGTTTCAAATTTAAATATAATTAAAAGAAAATAATAAAGGAATCTGTAATTTACAGGAAACTGTAAAACATTTTATAAATAAAGAATTTAACATCAAAAAAATCACTTCCATTTTACTTTTGGAAACCGAGAAATTGTTATTCAGTGTTAGATTGTAGTATATTTTTATTGAACAAAAAGTAGAACTAACACTAGACCTAAAACTAGAAACATTTGGATTTAGCCGTACTTCTCTAAAGACGGCTAAACCCAAGGTTTATATATAATCTAGAGAGCGTATGTGGTGGTGGTGGGGGTAATCAGAAAGTCGGACATGTTGGATGTACCGACCTGAACTTAGCTATAGTTTCAAGTCTCTATTGTACCTACAATTATAACCTCACAATTCTCATAAACATATTGTTATTTTTATTAAAATTTGATTTTTGTTGAAAGTTTTCGAATTCTTTTCGTTTCACACATGTTTTTTTATAATTTGGTAGGTTGGACGATTATTTACAACAGTCCATAAAATGTTTCTGGTTACTTGACTTGGAATTAACAATTAAAGACCTCGGTGTAAGGGGACAACTCCTTGTCTTGATAAATGGAGCTACTCCCTTCTTACACCGAGGTCTTCAATTGAAGTTCAAGTAAAGTTTATTATTATGGACTGTTCAGTTTTTTTTTAATAAACTAACAATTATTTATAAGCAAAGGTTAACGTGATCAATCAGAATTGCTTTAAATATTTTCTTCTTAGTTTATGTTAATTATAAGGGTTATGGCCAAAAATTATTAAGTTCTCTTAAAATATCATATAATTAATTATTATTTATCAATAAAAAATTAATGTTTTGTTTTGGTTATTATTTTCTGTCTTTCCAGTTTATAATAATGTAAATTCTTGCATAAGTATATATAAGAATTTCGAATTTCCCGCTAAGTTGGTACATCTAACATGGCGACCGTTCTGGCTTCATTTTAGGCGTGGTGGGGACAACAGCATACGCACTCTAGATTATATATAAGACCTCAATGATAAGAGGTTGTCTGGGTTCGTACGCAATCATACTGCGCATTACGTCACATGTGGAAAATAATACTGCCAAGCAATTCAAATTAAACAAAGGCATGGAGCACCACATGGTCATTGAGATCGCTTACGTCACGAAACACTCCTGCTCTTGCCCCTCGCCCACAAACTAAAATCAAAGTATTGCAGCATAGGAATTTAGACAACCTTTAATATATAAACCTTGGGCTAAACCCGAATGATTCTAGTTCTAGGTCTAGTGTTAGTTCAATGAAAAATGAAAACAACTGCCAAAAACTACATTCTACTTCCAAAATGCTAGATACTGCGAGCAAAAAACTTCTAACTGTTTGGTAGAAGGATATACTGTTTCCTAAAGACTACTTACTGCTTCCAGAACGGTAAATATTACTGGAACAGACTACTATCTACTTGGAAAGGCAAGATACTGTTTCCTAAAATTACCGTCTGCTTCCAGAATGGTAGATACTGCGGGGAAAAGACTTCTAACTGTTTGAAAGAAATAGATACTGTTTCGCAAAAAACTCCTTATTGCTTCCAGAACGCTAAATACTGCTAGAAAAGACTACTATCTACTTGGACAGGCGAGACACTTCTTCCAAATGACTAATTACTGCCTGGAAATAGGAGATATACTTTCCAAAAGGCTATCTACTGCTTCCACAACGTTAGTCACAGCTGTTTTAATTTCCCTCAATAAAGTGTTTTCCGAAAGTGTTGTAATTTTGAGATGAACCTAACCAATCAAGGAAAATATTCAAACTAGGTAATATGACTTTATCAAGTACAAAATATCCCTAGTTATCCATCTATTAAACGTAAAGCGATTCGAAATTGATGGGAGTTAAAACCGAAAGGATATCTGTATCGTTTCAGGTCCAATAGGTGGGGTGTCAGTGTGGGAAACGTGGGTTTCCTGACAGGGAGTTAGTCACGGCTTCTGGGTTACGTCCCGCGGGCATTTCTGTAGGAAACTGGAGACGAAAATGGCCGGTAGAAATTCGCGAACACAAAAAAAAAGTATAAAATTGAAATCGATTAAAGTTTCTTCTTAAAATCTTATCGCGTTCCGGGTTAATTCCGCACCCCGCGAGGCCATCCGTCTCGTTGATAAAGGTCGACCCCCTCAGGTAATGGAAACATTGATCTGATAGCGAAAATCGGCGAGGAAATAAATAAAAAGGGCCTCGGCTCGGTTGACCGGAAACCGGTTAACTTAAATTGCTGATAGGGCTTTAGGAAATATCGGGAGGAGAAAATTCTCCCCGGATGCAATCTTCGAAGGACAATATTGTCCGGGAAGTTTTAGGAATACCTCTTCTTCTTTACTTTCAAGTTATATCTTAGATTATTATTTAATTTATCTCCAATAAAAATTAAATTTAAATATAGAAGTGAATTTGAATAAAGAATTTTTTTACACCCCCTTAATGAATACGAAGCTTGCAGCGGACGTGTGCGATAGAAAATTAATTGCACATGATGTAGAGGGCGTCTTCTCGAGTGCGTTGTGTTCGAGAGTGGCTTAATGAACGGACATGAATCACCAAAACGACCAAACCATCCATCCCCGGAAGCTCTAAATCCAAAAAATAAAAAAATAAAAATTCCGGTTCTCATATAATTTTTAATTTAACTAAGGGAGAAACGTTGAAAACCGATCGATTCCATATGAAGATTCCATCTAAAATTAAAAAAGCAATTTGCAGACTAGACAGAATGTGGTACAAAGAGTCACCCCCTACCGATGTTTGTGAACGAACCAGAAGTGATTGAAAAGGGGTTTGTCTTCTGTACGATTAAATGCCCGTAGGCGAGACACCCCCCAAGGCGAGCCCCAATCTGTGTTAATTTTTAAAATCCATTTTGATGTGAGACTCACTTCTAACTTCTAAATCACCAGTTAGAACGGATGTGCCAACAGCACGTGTTTGCAAAAAATATCGATGCGTTCATTTTCCGGGAGCAGGGTGGCAACAATGATGTCCTTATGTGCCGCTCCTAAATCACTCACTTCCAATATCCAAACACATGGTGCGACTTTCCCTTTTCCGTACCTTTATTAACACTTTTCTTCTTTACGACGAAACTTTTTTCCAATGGGGTGCATAGGGAAACTCAAAAGAGATGTTAAATTTTTTCCTTTTATTAAAATCAAGTTACAGTGTAACCATGCAGAAATTAGAACACAACCGAGATAAGAAGTCTCTGGAGAGTGCTTTTCCGTTTCCTGTCGGGGTGCGCAAGTTTTTAGCTATTAATTATGGTCCTGACTCATGACGACACGTGGCAGTCACGCGATCGCAGACGGGGTAACGCATCAAAGGCGGTCGCGACAACAATCGGACCAGGATTATTTATGAGGATCGGGGCACGTGCCGCTTGTTTTACTACTTTTTCGTCGCTAACGAAAGGTTTTTATGTGTCGACTACTTTATGTGTAGTGGTGTTCGGTCCCTCGGGGGTTGTTTAGAACCGCACCGATGCCGCCCTCGTATTAAGCACCGTGAATTTCTTTTCGTTATATAACTTTATCTGTTTAGGTGTAAATTTACGAAGTACTTTGATTATACAGTAAAACCTCGATATAACGAACCTCGTTTATTCTTCTTTCCAGTAATGTAGAAACTTTCTAGTTCTAGTATTAGTTAGTCTGTTTAGTCTTTATTATTAGTCTTTTTGCAGCAGTCTGTAGCATTCTGGAAACAGTAAGTAGCCTTTTGGAAAGAAAATCTCTTATTTCCAGGCAGTTATTAGTCATTTGGAAGCAGTGTCTCGCCTGTCCAAGTAGATAGTAGTCTTTTCTAGCAGTATTTAGCGTTCTGGAAGCAGTAACTAGTTTTTGGGAAACAGTTTCTCTTTCTTCCAAGCAGTTAGAAGTCTTTTGCTCGCAGTATATACCATTCTGGAAGCAGACGGTAACTTTAGGAAACAGTATCTTACCTCTCCAAGTAGATAGTAGTTTTTTCCAGTAATATTTAGTGTTCTGGAAGCAGTAAGTAATCTTTGGGAAACAGTATATCCTTCTTCCAAGCAGTTAGTAGTCTTTTGCCCGCAGTATCTAGCATTCTGGAAGCAGATGGTAGTTTTTGGTAATTTCTAGCAGTTGTTAGTCAAGAGGGGTAGTTCTAGTTTTAGTTAACAAAAACTAAAATTAGCCGTACGTCTAAAGACGCACGGCTAAACCCGAAACTTTCTAGTTCTAGGTGTAGTGTTAGTTCTAATTGTTTTTCAGCATATTTTTGATTGAACTAAAACTAGAACCTAGAATTAGAAAGTTTCGGGTTTACCCGTGCCTCTTTGATCTTGTAATTAGACTACGTTAACTTGCCTCTTAAACTTTGAAGATTTCCGAATCGATTATTTAAATGGAAAAATGAGCAGGTGTTCGAGATTCACCCCCATTGAAATTTTTACTTGCGAACAAATCTCTTCTATTAAAGTTGATCTGTGAGGGACAGATGAAGTAAATCACCCCATTGTAGGTTATCCCACCAATTCGTCTTATATACCCCTATTTAAGCTAATTACTTTCACCCTTAAAGACTTAACCCTTACCCTTCGCAGAGGTTACTAATGGCTCCTTTTGTCTATTTACCACAAATCCCCCGTGGAAAGCAATCTTAAACGAGTCCTTTATAAAAAAAGCTGGCTGAGAAGCTCAAGGGATTCCATAATATATTCCTAGACGGTAATTGACAAGTTTGTCGGTCAGTTTGGGGCAACCTTCTCTGTATAATGCAGGGTCCCAGAATTGAGCTCTAAGTATTTATACCAACAAACGACGGTCCCGTTTGATTGGGTTAATTTTCTGCGACAAGTTCGGAGCAAGTCCCCGAAATTTGCCAACGGGAAACGAGGGGCTTAATATAGTATATAGTATTTCGAGACCCTTTTTGTCCGCAAGGAGTTCAACTGTCAAGGAAACGCGCCCAGTCACCGCTCTATTTTCTCCTTTGCAAACCGGTCAGTCTGAATTTAAATCGGCCAAGAAGA